TTTTGGCCCAAAATGGAAATTTTTTGCATTTTTGATCCCTTTTAAATTTGAAAAGCATTTTTGACCTTTGAAATGGTTTTAATACACTTGTAATCCCCTGTTTTACAGAAAATTGTATTTCCATCCCCTCAATTTCAAATATCTCGCAAATTGGGGCTTATTGGGCCGAAAAGCCCATTTTAGCCCATTATGTTCAACGTTTACATTTTAAGCCCCTCAAAAGTGTTGATATTCATAAAAATTATATTAGAAACTGTTTGGACCCTTTTCAACCTCCAGAAATTATTATTTGTCATTTAGGGCCCTTAGTTTTGTATTTTTGACTATTTAAGCCCAAAATTGGGTTATATGTCCAAATATGTTCATCCTAACCAAGTAAACTATTTTTCTAGACTTGATTAGTGTAAAATGATGTAGGTTATGTTTATTTCACTCCACATGTTATAGATCTCGGTTTTTAGGTACTTTTTGGCTAACATATTCATCACAAAACACATAAAATCATACATATAAGCATAAAAATCACACAAGGCATACATTTACTCATAGATCTACATTTTGCTTGTATTCTCCCCAATAAAACTCATAAAAACGAAAGGAAAAGGGGTATGAAGCTCACCTTGAGTTGTGATTTCGGTTTTTGAAGGAAAATATGAAGAAGATTCGATCCTAGCAAGCTTTCTTGGAGGATCTCGAAGTTAGATGTTTCTAAGGTGCAAGATCACAAGTTTTGTATGATATAAGGAAGATTATTGGTAAAATGAAGAAGATATGTTATGAATCAAAGAGATAACTTGCCAAAGATGTGAACTACTTGTTGAAAACCTCTTGAATCACAAGCAAAAATCGAGATTTTTTGGATGAAGAGGAAGAGATGTGTCTTAAGTGATTTAGAGAGAATTTTTGTGAAATGTTTGTGTTTCTTTGTGTCTTCGGACGAGAGAAGAATAAAGAGGGGAGAAGAGAGTGAGTGATTGGATGGTGCATGGAAGTATGAGTCATTTTGCATGGAAATCCTTTGAATAATTGTGAGGTGGCATCCAAGAGTCAACTCCTCTTCTTGGGTTGGGCTTGGGCCGAAAATGGAGAGGGAAGAAAAGAATATTTGGGCCTTGAATGCTTAAGCCCATTTTGTAGTTAAGTCAGGTGATTTTTGGCCCAAATAAATAAAAATATGATTTTTATGACCTATTAGGGCTAAATTAGGTTAGTTATGGCCCAAAATGATTCATATAATTAATTTATTTCATTCTAGGCCAAATATGGCCCAAAATATTGAAATAAGTGGAAGCGGGTCCAATTAGAGTCCATTTAAGAGTTCTAAGCCCAAGATGGTCAAATTGGAAGCTTATTGGTCCATTGGGCCCAATAAGGAAGTCCTTGTCCAAAATGGACTTAAACAAGAACTTCTAGGGTTTCCAATTGCTTATTGACTACTTGAAATACTTGCATGGGGTGGTTGATTGAAATTTTGTTGTCATAGAGTATGCATCATACATGCTCTTATGTCTTTGATTCATAATTTGGTTAAGTGTTGTATTTACAAGGCACAAAAATTTGTAGTTGTGACAATTAACAACAAAATTTCAATCAAACACTTCACACATGCACTGCAACTAGCCAACAAACAATTGGAAACCTTAGAAATCCTTGTTTAAGTCTATTTTGGATTAGAATTTCATGATTGGGCGCAATGGACCAATAAGCTTCCAATTGGACTATCTTGGGTATAGAAGAACTCTTGAATGGGTTCTAATTGGACCCACTTTCATTTATTTGGGCCATATTGAGCCTAGAATGAAATAAAATATTTAAATGGACCATATTGGGCCATAATTAACCTAATTTAGCCCTAATAGGTCATAAAAATCATATTTATATTTATTTTGGCCAAACATCACTCAACATAACCATGAAATGGGATAAAGCATGCAAGGCCCAATCCTTTTCATTTTCCCTCTCCAAATCTCGGCCCAAGCCCAAATGAAAGGAGGAGTTGACTCTTTGATGCCACCTCACAATTGCCTAAAGGATTTCCATGCGAAACTCATATATCCATGCATTTCCCATTTTTCCATGCAATCACCCTCTTCCTTTTCTCTTCTCTTTTGCTCTCGGCCAAACACAAGCACACATACAAACACACACACACACTTCACTCAAAAATATCTCAAAGAAACTCTCTTCATTCCTCTCCAAAATTTTTGAGATCTAGGGAGTCTTCAAGGAAATTATCCTACAAATTCTTCATCTAAGGTAAGATCATGCATGGATCTATGATCTAGATTTTTTTGTTTTATCAAAAATCTTTTCCTAACCCATGGAAAATCATGATCACTCTCTTAGAAACCCTCTAAGTTCGAAATCAACAAAGGAGGGCTTGCTAGGGCCAAAAGTAACATCAAACTTCTTCCAATCTTCTTCAAAACCGAAATCACAACTCAAGGTGAGTTTCATACCCCTTCCTTTTCAGTTATTATGAGCTTTATGGGGGAGAATACAAGTAAACGTGTAGATCTATGTTTAACTGGATGCTATGTGTGATTTGATGCATGTATGTGTATGATATCATGTGTTTTGTGATGAATATGTTATAAAAAAAGTGTGTAAAAACCGAGATCTAAGACATGAGAAAGGAAATAAACATAACTTAAGTTATTATACACTAATCAAGTCAAGAAAAATGGATTATAAGGTCATGATGAACATAATCTAATATTAAACCCATTTTTGGGCTTAAATTGTCAAAAATACAAAACTAGGGATGCAAATCAACAAGTCACGGTTTGTTGAAGGTTAAAAGAGTCTAAACAGTTTCTATAAATATTTTTATTAATATTAGAAATTTCAAGGAAATTAAAATGTAAATTTTTAGCATATTGGGCTAATTATGGGCTTCTCGGCCCAATAAGCCTCAAAATGCGAAATTTACAAGTTTGAGGGGCGGTGAATGTAAGTTTCTGTAAAACAGGAGATTTGAAGTGAAAAAAAACTATTTCAAGGGTCAAATATGCTTCTCAAATTCAAAAAGGATAAAAATGTGAACATTTTCTGTTTTTGGCCAAAACTGTAAAAGTTGCGAAATTGGGGGTTTTAACCGAGAAAACATCATTCTAGCAGGGCTAAAGCTATTTACAAAATAAATTTTGGGTTAAAAATGTCTTTTCAACAAGTTTGTGATTCAAAGGTGTCAAAAATGTTTAAAGGACTAAAAATGAAATTCTTTTATATAAAGGACTAAAAGTGTTATTTTTATAAAAGAAAGGTTGTGAAAAGGTAAAAATCTTACGTTGAAACAAATTAATTCATTAAGACAAAATACAAGATCCACGACTACCGACGAAACGGAAAAACAAATACATCCTCAACAACAAATATCGTTACAAAACAAATTGATTCGGTCTCGAATCAATAACAAAACAAAAATCAATAAACCAAAGTATTTCAATAAACACGCGATAACTATGAGGAGTCCACATACAAACTTTGGGCTTGAAAGTTTCAAATCATGCTTGTTGCGCCTTGATAGCCTAATAACCTGATCTTTGGGCCCGAAGGGAATACGCTTACATGTTAATGGGCCTTTTATGACCCAATTCCATGTAAAAGGACTTCAATAGCTCTAATGTGTTATTGGGCCCTAAGGGCCCATTAGTACTGCTAGCGAGGTTGAGAAGTCAAATGCGAGTGGGACTAAGTGCTTTTCGCATTCCCGATAGCCTGGAATAACTCATGGAAGTAAAAAGGGGGCTTCGTACCCTCCTTTCTCCTCGGTTGACCAACTTATGAGAATTCAAGTAAACAGATTCGTGGCGTTAATCAAGAGAAGTCAGGGTGGTTGGATTAAGTGAGTACTACGGACGACGCCTTAAGGATTGTTCGTAACTTGTGGTTATTAGCTAGTCATTTTCATTAATGCGTGATTGTAACAACTCACAAACCCTATTTAATCCAATGTCACCTGGGTAATCAAAAACATTCGTCGATCGGTATAACAATAAACAAGTCATGTAATTTAAGTATTGGGAAAACATCGGGTTTTCCCAGGAAGTTCAACATTTCCACCTGTGTGATGTATAAAGTTCAACAATTATACAATATTTGAAAATCGACAAGCTTATTTACGGATCTTCACACTTTTTATAAACAAATACTCTTTTCAGAAAATATCGGATTTTCTGGGTTTTTCAAATTTCACCAAATTATTTTACCATAACATTACTTATGAACTCACCAACATTTCATATGTTGACGTTTTTCCAAAATAACTTGTATTCTCAGGTAACAGGTAAGCCGAAGAATAAGTATCAAGAAATGTCATGGTGTTTTGCTTAAATTATCTATCAGATAGTTTATGTTATGGAATTGTAATGTCTAAGACAATGTACTAAATGTAAACAATATCAGTTGTAATATTCCAATTCATGGTGTTTAATTATGTTATGATTCATGTATATTCATTGTGATGGTATTCAATTCGAGTCACAAGAGCCCTCTGACGTTTCCGCCGTCCGGTTCGGGGGTGTGAGAGGTTGGTATCAGAGCTCTGTTTATAGTGAACTAGCATATCTAACCACACATTGATATGCAACTATATACCAAAAAAGGGAGTAACACAACTCTGAACAAAACAAGTAAAACACAATGATAAAACAACTTTGCTTGTGCGAATTAGGAAACAGAACATAATACCGAACCAAACAAGATAATGCTAGCATCTCGGTTAGGTCAGGACTGTTCGTAGTTGTATCAAGGGGTCGATGTAGCCTGATCAACTACATTTCCTCCAAGGTGCAACTATCACATGTCCCAAGGAAATCTGATGGCTAGCGAACCTAAAAGCATACCCATTTATCCCAAAGAAGAGAACCACGACTCAATCTATGCAATAGTTGTAGTGTCATAGGAGTAATGATAGTTTATTCGTATACCTCCTCTCAGTCTCCATTGAAGGGGAGCAGCGGGACATTCTGTTTCATCAGGTGTTAGTGGCTCACGGGATGATTAAAGACGAGCCTGAAGGAGATCAAGGGGAAGCACTCGACATTGGACTCAAAGAGGAACAAGACGAATATGTGATAGTCGAGTTCGATTATGATGAACTGGACAAGGAGCCAAACGAGGAAAAGGGCGTAGAGGAAGCGCGTAGTGAACCTCACCAGTCGGGAGCCCCGTCAAATTTCTGCATGTTTCAAGGGGTGGATACAGACTATGTACGTGCTCTCGAGGAGACAGTTATCAGCCTGAAGCTTCAACTCATCATGGCCAAGACAAGGGCTATGCGAGCTGAGCGAAAGGTAGAATTAATCACCCAAGAGGCGGATGAACTGGCTGAACTCCTGATATGTCAGCTCGACGATTGAGCGTCGTCATCCTCTTTACTGATAGGACTAGCTCTACTACTTGCTATTATAGAGTCTAAAATATGTAGAACCAACCGTACCTCCTACTAGTATTGTGTTTCTGTGGATGTTATGTCATAATACTATCCGACTGTACATTTTCTTATGAAACGTTTGTAATTTAGGCAAATTTTCCAGTATAAAAAAATGGCTATTTCTAGTAGAAATTCTATGTGTTTGAATATGGGGATTCGCTTATGTGTGCGAACAAACATAAACACACCATAGGGATATAGATCGAAACATTGTGAACCATACGAGAAAACACGAAAAATTATAGAGCACCACCGGAAATAGTCGTCGTTACTCACGGTCCTGCATATCATCATGCAATAGAAGATGTCGTTCCCTAGAAATAACGAGCACACCTGTGAAGCACCACTCTTGCAAGTTGACCTTACTACATTCCAAGTTGTTTTCACCGCTGCAGTAACTGCTACTATGGCACAACTCAACGCAAACAACACCAACAGGGGAGGAAATAACGTTGAGAACACTAGTCGGAGTAACGACCACGGAAACCAACAAGTGATCGTATATAAAGGCACTCCGAACCCCAAGCGTAAGAGCAGTAAGTGAGCGTCAGTGAATAAGAGGAGAGGACAGCCAACTCAACGATCTTCGAAGAAACAACATGTTATTACTGTCGATGCTCCCATGATAGTTACTACACCAACACCAGGGAGAACATATGCTGGAAGTCTTCCAAGATGCAACAAATGCAGTTTCCATCATCATGGCGAATGCAGGGAGATGCATTGTACCAGTTGCAATAGAAAGGGTTATACGGCAAAATATTGCAGAGCCTATACCTCCCAGAACCAACAACAAGGAAACATCATCAACAATAACCGCTACAACAACAACACCAACAATGGCGGAAACAATGTAGCACCCAGCCACACCTTTTATAGATGTGGAAGGACTGGGCATTTCCGTCGAAATTGCCCCAACAACAACAATCCCGGAAATGGAGGATTAGGAACGGTGCTGATCATGGGTCAGGGAGAAGCGATTCAGGATCCCGCTGTCGTTACCGATACGTTCCTCCTAAACCACATTTATGCATGCATCCTATTAGATACCGGATCAGAACGAAGTTTTGTGAGCAATAAGTTTAAACATTTGTTAAAACAACAACCCAGAAGCTCAATGAAACCTTTAAGGTGGAAATGGCCATTGGGAAAACCGAATCCAATTGTAACACCGTGAATTTCAAAATAATTTTTTGCATAATATAAAAACACTTTCATTTAATTTAAAACAAAACATCAAGGTTAAAACTCCAATCCATATCATACAAAATCCCAAGATTACATATCATAAAAATCCCATGCGTGTGTACAGATCAAGCCGGCGCCTTCCCACGGTCATCACTAGTACCTGAAACAAACAACACTAACACTGTAAGCACAAGGCTTAGTGAGTTCCTCAAAATACCATACATAACACATATTAGCCACTCGAGGCTATAACTCTGTGGGTCCGTAGACCCTACTCTGTGAACCCACTGGTTCAAACTCTGGAAACCTTCCGGTTCCAACTCTATTAATGTGCACAGCATAAATCACATAGAAATAATGCAGTACAACACATAAGATACATATATCATACAAATACTCTATCACCTAACTCTGATTACCTACTCAAGGTAAAGTATAGTGAGAAGACTCACCTCGTATATCTCGATAACTCACGAATCCTGGAAATCACTCGTGCTCGATCCTCCGAGCTATAATCCTCCTATAACATCGTATATCTCTAATTAACACTTTTACCACTAAGGTTGACTACCCATATCAAGTCAACACTGGTCAACTCTGGTCAACAGTCAACGGTCAACTTTGACCGGACTCGGCGAGTGCACTATGGCGACTCGACGAGTCTATACGTGTTCACTGACTGCCTAGGATCCTCTCCTGACACGTCGAGTACACCCCCAACTCGACGAGTCCCACCTGACATGAATCGTGGGGCCACCACGACTAAACTCGCCGAGTCTCAAGAACAACTCGGCGAGTTCCAGTTCGACTCAGTCCACCTGTCAACCCTCTTTAACTCTCCCTGACTCACTGAGTCAACCCTTAACTCGGCAAGACCACTCGCTGAGTGGTTAAGGACAATCTTCATGCTACTCGCCGAGTCTGTTCTTCGGACTCGGCGAGTCCATGCCATGCATCAACTCAATCTTGCTTCTGAGGTCAGATCCGCTCCATCAACTCATAGATCTGGCCCTCCCAAGCTCATTCATCATGTAAAGTCACAGTCTTGGCTACCATGCAATGCCTACAAGGCTTCTTTTGAAGAAATGACCTCTAAAATGGCAACCTAAGTTTCCAACTCAAAAGGGAAGACATAAAGCATGGCATTTGGGACTCTCTGGACCTAATAAGGTCCAGATCTAGGTACCATATCCCCATGGGACCTCTCACACTCCAAATACAAAGCAAACAAGGCATGAAGAAACCCTAGATTTGACCATAACAACAAAAACACGAGAATAAGCTCTGAATGATACCGCAAGAAGCTTCCTCTGACGAAATGGAAGTAGATCCAAGCTTCCCAACTCTTCTAGCTTGCCTTTTCCCTTCCTTTCTTGCAAACACACAAAAAATTGGTGAATAATGGCCTCTTATCTCACTCACAAGAACTCTCAGCCACTTTGGTGCTCTCAAGGTCAAGGTAGCCGCAATGAAGGGACATAAGGTCCTTTAAATAGGGGTTAGGACTAAGAAATTAGGGTTTCATTAAACAGCATGGACTCGCCGAGTCCATCCCTTGGACTCGCCGAGTCCAGGCGCGAACCCGCGTCCAGAATCACGATCCTACTCGGCGAGTTTGAGCTTTAACTCACCGAGTCCCCTCACAAAACACTAAAAATACATGGTTAAAAGATACCTGGAAATTCGGGCTGTTACACCAATGGGGAGATCTATAACGGGTGTACCCTAACTCTAAATCAACACATCTTCCGAATAGACTTAATGCCTAATTCCATTAGGAGTTTTGATGTGATTATTGGCATGGACTGGTTAAGCCCCCACCATGCTAAAATTATGTGTCACAAGAAGGCCGTTCGCCTTCACCTCCCAGATCATGAAGCCCCAGTTATTTACAGAGACAAACCTAGCACGAACCTTCATCTCATCTCGTGCGTCTAGGCTCAGAAGCATCTGCGAAAGAATGACTTGATGTTCCTGGCGCATATAGTGGATAAAACCAAGGAAGAGGTTAACGTTCAAGACATTCCAGTAGGATGTGAATTCCCAGAAATATTTCCTGAAGATCTTCCTAGAGTACCCCCAGAGAGACAAGTTGAATTCCGAATTGATCTTGTTCCAGGAGCTACTCCCATCGCTAAATCGCCTTACCGATTAGCTCCTGCTGAGATGTAGGATTTTTCCAGTCAACTCAGTGAACACCTGGGCAGTGGATTCATCCGACCCAGCTTCTCACCCTGGGGAGCTCCAGTCCTCTTTTTCAAGAAAAAGGACAGATCTTTTAGGATGTGCATTGATTACAGGGAACTAAACAAGCTCACTGTCAAAAATCGCTAACCACTCCCACGACTCGACGATCTATTTGACCAGCTCCAAGGAGCCAGTTAATTTTCTAAGATAGATCTACGATCTGGGTACCATCAACTCAAGGTCCGGAAAGAGGATATTCCCAAAACCGCTTTCCGAACTCGTTACGGACCATATGAATTTGTCGTAATGCCCTTCGGTCTAACGAATGCCCCTGCCGCATTCATGGACCTAAAGAATCGAATCTGCCGACCATTCCTCGAAAAATTTGTTATTGTTTTCATTGACGACATTCTAGTCTATTCCCGAAGCGCAGAAGAGCATGGCCAACATCTCTGACAAATCCTGGAAACCCTGTGAACTGAGAAGCTATACGCAAAACTCTCCAAGCGTGAGTTCTGGCTTCGTAGCATGAAATTTTGGGTCATGTTGTTAGTTAGGAAGGAATACATGTGGATCCTTCAAAGGTCAAAGCCATTGAAGAATGGGCAGTCCCGACAACACCCATAGAAATTCTTCAATTCTTAGGCCTAGCAGGTTACTACAGGAGGTTCATCCAGAACTTCTCTAAGATCCCCAAGCCACTTACCTCGCTTACGCAAAAGGGCGTACCATTCAAATGGACAGAAAAACAAGAAGTTCCATTCCGAACTCTACAACGAGCACTCTGCAGTGCCCCGAAACTATCTCTACCAGAGGGAACGGAAGATTTTGTGGTCTACTATAACGCATCAAATCAGGGTTTAGGTTGCATTCTCATGCAGCGTGGAAAAGTGATAGCTTACACATCCCTCCAACTAAAGACACACGAAGTGAATTATACAACCCACGATCTGGAATTGGGAGCAGTGGTCTTCGCACTGAAGATTTGGAGGCATTACCTCTATGGTACGAAGTGCACCATCTTCACGGACCACAAGAGTCTCCAACACATCCTGAATCAAAAAGAGCTGAATATGAGGCAAAGAAGATGGGTCGAACTATTAAACGATTATGAGTGTGAGATCAAGTACCACCCAGGTAAGGCTAATGTGGTAGCTGATGCCTTGAGCCGGAAAGAGTACTCTAATCGTTGTGTGAAAACTCTCTCAATAAACATCCAATCTCGCCTAACCACTCAGATCAGGGCAACCCAGTCAGATGCCATGAAAGCGGAAAACAAAACAAGCGAAGCATTACGCGAAATGGAGAAGAATATCGAGGTGAAAGAGGACGGAGTATAATATTTCATGAACCGAATTTGGGTCCCTAAACTTGGAGGATTTAGTGAGGTAGTCATGAATGAAGCACACAATACGCGATACACCATCCATCCAGGTTTGGAAAAAATGTACTTGGATATTAAACAACATTATTGGTGGCCTAACATGAAGGCAGAAATTGCCACCTATGTCAGCAAATGCCTTACTTAAGTAAAGGTGGAATACCAGAAGC